TAGAAGATTTTTTAAAGTGATTCATCATGTGGAAAACGAATAGATAGATAGATAGATAAACCGATATGTGGCGCCATCTAGTGTACCTAAATTCATCTAGAAATGTTCATAAAAGTGACCCTAAAAAACGGAGCTAACTCGGTAACCCGTGGCCCGATTTTAACGAAACTTGTTTTATTCTGTTTCTATTCTCATTTAATTGCAAATATGGTGCTATTGTGCGCCGTCTTTGCTGTATTTAATTACAGACAAGCAAACAAACAATCTCAGAGTTTTAGTAGTATATAGATTGAGATGAATTTGCACCCTCGAAAAGTGAGATATTTTATTGTGATGCGTTTCTTTTAAGAAAATTAAAAATGGTTATCTTTGTTGTAGATTTTAATTAATGATTTTTTTGTCTTCCTACATTCTTTTGAAATTTTCTAATAATGTTTTTATTCTATAAAACTGTAAATTTTATCTTCATTTTGATTCAAAAAACATTGCATGCAGTTTCACAGAAGACTTCATTTAATATATGTTTTAAACCAATTTATATCCATTTTTTAAATTGTTTTTTTGTGATTTTCTTTGCCTGTTCAAGCAGTTATTTAGGCTAATAAGATCTAATTCAAACGCAGCCTAACAACCAGCAATGTTTGTTAACAAAGTGAGGTATAGGCAATTACATCACACAATGACAACTGAGGTTAAGAAACATTGATTGGTTAAAACTGATAAAATTACACTGATATTAAAGTTACAAGGTTGAAATTGGTGCTATTTTATCCAAAACTATTTCAACTTTCCTCTTAGGAGAATATAAATGCTGTTGTTTGCGCAGAAAAAAAATCAGGAAATTCACAAAAGCTAATATTTGCATTCATAGTGCATTAAAATCACACCAAATTTTTAATTTTTTATATTTCTAAAATCAAAAACAAATTTTTTTTGTTCTATAAATTTTAACTCTGAAGTATGTATTTTTAAAAATGTATGGAAGAATGAACACAAGTTTATTTTCTACACAGTTTTTAATTCAATAGTGCAATTTTTACTTTAGGGCACCATACATTTAAGCTGTAGCAGTATTCAAAAATATTTCTCAAATTAGTTACAGCATTTAATAAATTTTTAAAAGTAGTTAGAATATTTATATTTTGGTAAGTACTTATGTTTCTATAAACTACCACAGTATGCACATTTCTAGCAATTCTTGAAATACACATATTGTTTTTGTTAGTTCTTACAATATATTATCATTCTGAATTTCCTAAATGGCAAGACAGAATACTTCTTGAAGTAGCAACGTAAAATACATCTTTGGTGTTGGATAATATTGTTCATAACACAAAAAACCAAACCAGTTGGATGAGAATAGGAAAAATACAATGTCAAAATAAGATGGATGAGGTTGTTCAAAAAGCAGTTGACAAGAGGTGGTTTTTAAAAATAGGAGAGATAATATAAGTAGTGTGGTCTTGATAACATATGACAGCTAATGCAACTTGGATAAGGTTCATAGCCAAAATATGGATTATGTTAAAAATTTAAGAGTGATGAGTAAGATGTCATCATTGAAAATGTAACAGAAACTATCAGGTTCAAGAGATTGTTATATAAACAAAAGACTATTGAAGTTGGAAGGGAGTTAGAAAGGAAAAACAAGAGATAAGACTTGAATGATAATGAAAGTACAACAGAAAAACACTAGTCAACCTTTGGCACAAAGTAGTTCTAACGTTTTGGAACATGGTTTGTTACTTCATCAGTGTTGTAATGTTCAAAGAGAGAGAATTAAAAGCAATACTAGTATGCAAGAAAAGTGATTAGGAATGAGTATAAAATGGTTTGAAACATCATGCATCATGTCAAAAATTTCATTAATAAAACTAGTGATTTTTAATATCATCCCCATGAAATTTAGTTTCCCTAGGATAAGTAGTTTTTAAAGATATATTATTTTAAAATATGTGGTTTTCTTTATAATCGCCATGTAGTTTACATTGTACATGATATTCAAGCCAACTCCCTCTTCACAGGGGCAAAAAATAGAGATAAAAAAGAAATGTGAAAACTACAAAAATAAATACTCTAACATGTATACAAATAACAGTAGTCCCAGTTAATTAAACAATATCCACATGACTGTCACAAGTTACTTGTTATGGTACTGAATGTTTGCAGCTGAAATATCTTCAACTACCATAGTTTTAGCTACTGTATGATAGCTAGACATACTTTTAACACTCATGTTTATTTCCCTTAATAATCTCCATTTTATTACAGTTCATTTTCATATAATAGGAGAGAAGCAATCTAATAATGTTTGCATTTATATCTATTCTATTCACTATTTCCATAATTATTTTCAATACTGATACATAAGAACATTTCACACTTTTAGAAATGTAACAGTAAAGAATGTGTTTATTTGTTTTGAATTTCGCGTAAAGCTACACGAGAGCTATCTGTGCTAGCCGTCTCTAATTTAGCAGTGAAAGACTAGAGGGAAGGCAGCTAGTCATCACCACCCACCGCCAACTCTTGGGCTACTCTTTTACCAATGAATAGTGGGATTGACAGTCACATTATAATGCCCCCACGGCTGAAAGGTCGAGCATGTTTGGTGGGATGAGGACTCAAACCCGCGACCCTCAGGTTGCGAGTCGAGTGCCCTAACCACCTGGCCATGCTGGGCCTAAGAATGTGTTGCATGTACTCATGTTATTGAGGCAGAGTAGTTTTTACATAAAACTTCATTTGTTATAAGACAATATTTAATTTGTAACTCTAGTAACATTATGATTACACTGAAATAAGTTTTTGTTTTTTTACTTTGCACTCACTTAGTTAGAATGGTGTATTAATTTAGCTAAGTTAAGTTACTTGCTCGATTTTTAGTTCCTACCTATGTATGTAGCTTTCTTGGATCAGAAGTTAATGAAAGTAATGAAAAATGTAGAAATATTTATATCAGTGAACCAAAAAAAAAGGTATCTTTATGAATCAATATACAGGTGAAAGTTGGGAAATGTATTGTGTATAAGGTAGTTTGGCCTTAAGAAAGCTCCTGTAGTTGAAACATTGTCACATTGGTAAATTAAGGAAAGCATATTATTCTTCTTGATGGAACTTGCTATTACATCAAATACAATGTCAGGTACAAATACCCAATCAGGCTCCTTGGATGACAAAAAGAACAGTTGAAGGAAGGTTATTATCTATGTAACAAATGATAAATTAATTACTTATGAAAATACTAGTACTTACATTAATTTTGTTACCAAATCCAGCATATAATGGGTTTGATACACATGTTGGAAACAATGCTTGAATGTCTTTCAAACAACTTATCTTAAAAACTTCAGGTTTCTTCTCAATGACCTCTCTGTAATAAAGAGAACTACTCTCAAAACATTGAAGTTATTAAGTTTAGCTGGTATGTACAGCACTTTGGGTACATACATACTGTTCAGTAATTATTGTACAAACATGATGTGAATCTTATTAATGTGCATCAATATTATTCACCAAAGACAGTTTTCATTAATTAAAGATAGTTTTGTTATCACACTATTATGACATTATACAGAGGACTGTTCACAATTTTGGTAACAATTCGCATATCCAATCACCTTGTCCCTGACCATCCCTATGACCTGTGGCAACAAAAGTTAAAAGTCTTGATACTCCTACTGTTTTTATCACTTTTAATTATTATATTTTATCTTTTCATTTAACTTCTTTAATTTTTGATTTATAAACCCATATGTGACATCATATTTAAAACTATTATTGATGTCTGAATAGGGTGTTTACATTAGATAAGGAATTAAAGCATTTATCTAGTTATTCTGAAATACATTATGATATATGTATAAATATATTGTGTGTGTGTGTGTATTATGACTAAACATTACATTTTAATTCACAGTACAAAATTTATTCTGTTAACTATAAAAATATATATTGTATTAAACTACACTACTGACTTAAAGGTACAAAAATACAACTCTACAGTTAATGATGTCCATTTACCAGACCTCAAGTGGACAAATAAGCTATTTATTTTAAGAAATAACTTGTTGGCTATATTAGTACAGTATTACTTATCTACTATTACATATCCTTCATTTTATTTCACTTATGTCTTTGTTAAATTCTCAAGTTTTATCTAATTTATCTCTGAAGGTCAGAACAGTTTTTGTAAATAACAAATTTATTGCTAGATTTTGTCAGTATAATAATCATCACTTAAAAAGCAATAATACGTGCCCTATGATGACAAACAGGAGAAACTTCATGGAATGTCAACATTCAGCCACAGAAAAGCAGACATTATTTAAGGGATGTAATGTCAATAGTGTATTGTGGTACACATGTATCAACAACTTTAAAAAAAACTGTGTACTATGCACTTTTATACCTGTTCCCAAAACTGTTCTGTTGCTTAAATGTTGAGCTAGCATATTTCCTAGTCAGTCTGTTACAATTATTAAAGTTCTTTTTAAGTTACTACTACTAATCATGTGGAATCATTATTGGTTGAATTAGTAGTTTATCTAAATTTTTGGCCAATGGAGAAACTTATCTCTCTTAAATGTTTTCTTCTTAAGGCAGTAGCTATTAAGCAGCTGATACAAAGTACGGAAAAACTTAGATTTCACAGTTTATTTAATATGTTGTCAAAAATGCAACTTATCATGTACATTTTTTTAAATTTATATAAATGATTTTTTAACTTTGTGACGTTTGCATTTTATTTATCTGTGTACAACTGAAACAGATGTAAACCCATATTTTAACAGTTTTCAGGAATGGTAAAAATAATATCTTTATTTTTTGAGATTTAAAAATGTTTTCTTCTTGGTTTACAAGTTTTCTCTCTTTTGTTTGGTACTTTAGTATTTTTGTGAGCTATTTAGAAGCACACTGAGGTAAAATATTAACTTAATTCAACATATTTCAAGTTAAAAAGAATGTCAGATTTCATGTTAGTGCACCTTGAAACCTTCCAACTTCTAGGGATTCTGCTTATTTTTATCACCATGGATGCACCACTAACTTGTGGAGTTACCCTAGGTTTCTGTATAATTTCTTGTATTATGGTCTGGCTAATTTATTTGAAAACAATAATACACAATATTAGTTACTATGTGTATATAATAACAAGAAATTCACACAAGGAAACTCTCCTATAAATGCATTAGATGGTAGCATATATACATAATTTGTGTTCTGAAAAAAGCAATTATCTGCTGAATTCAAGATCTTCTATACCTAATGAATGTATTCAACTGCAGGATAAGATTTTAATTGGGTAAAATATATAACCAGCAGTCAGTGGAATAACTAACCCCAATTTACAGAAAATTCCTTATTCTTTTTTAAAATAACAAAACATATTACAGAACCTTACCTGTGGAGTGCATTAAGAAGAGATGTAGGAGACAAAAGTAGAGGACCATCTGGAAGACAAACATTGCCTTGCTTAACACTACGTAAATAGTCCCTGGTGACCCGAGCTTGTCCAATAGCACGTGCTGACAGATATAGGAACTGGTACCCATTATTTTTTACCTTAGTGAAGAGAGTAGCAACTCCTGACTGAGCCCAGTCTTTCCCAATTATTGGTAGTATGTGACCAAGAACATCAGATCTGTAAATTGATTTAATGACTGCTTAGGTTTTTTAAATTTTAAACTTAAGATCATTTAAAGTGACCAAAAAGTAATTTTCTTTTGAACAGAGAACATAAGTGCAGACACAGCAACTGTCATTTTTATTTAATGAGTCTTACTAAAGATTGGTTGTCACTCCATTTATCACTAAAATTTCATTTTTGAATATAGAACATAACTATATTCCACTGTAATATGTAATACATTTATGTTACTTTATAATATCTTCATACATTCTTAAGTAAATAATGTGTTAGCAAGCAATTGAGTGATGTCACTTGTAAATAGATGACTGTAACACACATCATCTTGATACACGTATCATGTTAAAATAGAATTCTGGCCAGTAACAAGCCGACATATATATCTCTATATCAATAACTGTCAATAAACTGTATTTCATCATGTATAAAAGAATGATTAAGATTGTATAACTACCAATTTGTGTTTCTTATGGCTCAGAACAACTTTTGCCATTCATATAGTGGTAAAGGCAATAAAAAATAAAGTTCGGGTTGTACACTAATTTAGTTTCAAAAATGCTAGTCTAGTCTCTTTCCTAGCTTTTCTTTTTTAAGTGAGGTAGTAAAAACGTAAATTCCCATAGAAACATCTTAGTGTTTAATATTAATGAACATCTTTCTAAAAATTGTATAGTACATGGTTAACGGAATCTCTAAAATTACAATGAGCATAATCACAAGCTATGCCAAGAATGTATATTATAATTTGTATGGTGTTAAAGTCTTTTCTAAGTTAGCGAAGTATGATCATAATTAATTATACTTATCATACAACATTAATATTAGGCTTATTATATTTTAACACTACATTCTTTATTCATTTCCTTATGGTTTTTTCAAGAAAAAGAAGTGTGTGTGTATGTATAATAATGTTTCAACCACATAATGTCTGCCATTTCACATCCTATGCCAATGAAAAACCTGTTCATGAACATTCTCTCCCTTTCAGCCATGAGGGAATTATAATGTGACAGTTAACCCCACTATTCAATTATAAAGAATAGCCAAAATTTTGTTGTGGGTAGTGTTCATTAATTGCCTTTCCTCTAATCTTTCATTTAAAAATTAGGGACGGGTAGCATGGTTAGCCAATAAGTAGCTTTGTACACAGCTGAACAAACAAAAACAAACACAAAAACCCCTTGCCAATGATGAATTTAGCTCATCAGGCCAGCTGAGTTACATGAAACACATTAATGGTTAGAACACTATTTAAAGAAAACATTTGTTACAACAATAATTGTCATGATGTGTAAGTTTCTTCTAAGCTGGTGAAGCATGATTATAATTAATTATACTTGACATAAGGCATTACTTTTAATGTCTTATGACAAGTATACTATAGATTTGGACTACAGTATAATGGTTCCTTATTAACAATTTTTATTTTGATCATAATTACTGTACTTATCAATATTAACATAATAGTTTTTTTTTTATTAGCTTACATGCAAATCCTTAAAAAAAAGTTGACTAGTAAAAACGTTTAACTATAAGTACTAATAGTTTATTTCTTACTTTGTGATGGTTCCATCAATATCTGACACAACAATTTTATCATCATAATTCCATAAATAAATGTGACATTTGCAACGGGTGGTTCCTTGGTAGGCTGTGGTAACACTAAATACTACTTCATTAGCCCCTGGTTTCAGCTTCAGACTAGACTGTGAGAAACATAACAAAATGTTAGTACTCTTTAACATCCACTTAAAGATTCTATCAGAGTAAAATACAGGTAACTAAATATTGTTCTTTCTCACATCTTATCATCTGCAACAGTACAAACTAAATTATATTTAAAATAACCATACAAAAAAATAATTTTTCCTTTTACCTTATTACCAACATCTGCAAGAAGTTTAACAGCATAAGAAATGAGTGTGATATAACAACACAAAACCCTGATTAAATGTGTTGGCAATCACACAGACACCGTTGAAGGTCTTTATATATACTTTTCAAAAACTGTTAAGGGATACACAGTATTAATATTCCAGACCAATGCTATTTTCATGTACAGTGTGATAAAAATTTTATACAATTCACTGCTACAGTTGTAGTCAATTGTGAATTTCATCACATTTGTTAGGCCAACCTAATAAGCTTCCTTGTTGCATCCGTTTATTCAGCTTACACCACAGGATGAAGCTCTGAAATATTTGTACATTGGGTTTACAACATGTCTACATTACCCTTTTGTTTCTTTTGAGGTACTTGAAAGATAACTGTGCTTAATACAATCGTGATATTTCAAATTATATATATATGATTAATGTTGGATGAATCACTGCATATCACATATACTTCATTCCCACCATTATACAAACCATAGCTTACCATACAAATAAGTGTATGAGGTTCTATGCTTAATGCTACTTAAACCTATTTATTATTCATAAGTGAAAATGACATCTTAACCATTTTACTGCATTATAAAGGCATAATTAATACATTTGTTTTTAAGTAAAAGAGGTTGCTATTATTTCACACAACACGCAGTAACGTGTATACTCCCAATGCTATAATGAGACTTTAGCTATAACATAGATTTTACCGTGTTTTTGTGATTTTAAGTTCTCGTCTTACTTTCATGGTGTTTGAAAGTTATTACCACTGTTTACCTTGAACTATAATGATATTGAAACTTTATAATACTGAAAATTATCATTTAGTACTCACATGAGTAACTTGTGATTAAATTCATTAGTTAACTGAACAAAAGTACTTGATATGAATAATACTACCACCTAAACATGCATTGATGTTATAAAATAGCACAATAAGAGGTGTTATAACTAAGTGTTAGTGAAATTCATAATCTAATGTCCAGTCAGAGTGATCGTGATTGAGTTAAAAATATTCTACAAATGCAACACAAAGAGAAAGCAATGAAAATTTGTAATAGCAAATTAAGATAATTTTGTGGGTGGAATTATTCATTTAAAGCTATTTTGTTCAGAAAACCATGATAAGGAAAATACAAAAGCTGTCATATTATAACTTATTATAACAGGCAACACAGTATCTGTAACTAAAGTAAGTAATATGAAACATATTTCAATATCTGTTTTAAAAAATGATATTGAAAAGTTTATGCAATGTCACAGTGAAATAATTATCTAATTACATAATAATTAAAAAATAATTACTTATGTTTTTTAATTATTACTATTTTCTAGCCAAGTAAAGTTCTTACACTGAAACTATGGTATCCTTATATCTATATATATATATATATTTCTAAGCTTTTGAATGTCCTTTTGTATGTGGTTTTTAAACTTTTCATAAGGCAGTTATTTTTCAAAATTTTAAATTTGATAAGTTCAAAACATAGTAAATTGGTTATGATAAGCATAGTGTTTTTAATTCTTGGGACCAGTAATAATTAAAGCCTGGACATGTTCCTGGGACTATTGCCCCTTCATCTTAATCTGTAAATGCCAATCAAGTCATAAAACCTGCTTAATGAATGGGTATCCAAGGGAAATAACAGAAACCTATAGGAATTGAAGAATAGGATTGACAACTCTAGGACATTGAAATGGGAACACCAATTAAAGTTAAGAAAAAAAGATATATAAATAAAGGTAAGTTTATCTCTATCCTAGTTGGAGCTGTGAGAAATTATATGGAGAATGGGCATCTCAACTCCAATATTTTTATTGCTATGCAAAGATGTACACACAGAAGTGGGAAACATATCCAATGAAACATTATCAGTCACCAGGTGGCTTTCACTGTTTGCTTCCAGATAGTATCTCCCACTCATGAAGTAATCTGTTTTTGTTCTGTTTTGGGGATTGTTTTATAATCAAATAACTTATCAACCTAAGAAACCCCTGGAATTGTCAATATGGGTGTTAGACAATACAGAAATACCTGGGTTGCCTTAACCCCTTCGAAACAGGTCACAGGTGAAAGGCCATGTCATCTCATTTGTTGACTCAAGTTCAAAATTTTATTGATCTACTAATTCGTGAATTTATGTCAATAAGTTTCATATCAAACTGTAGATTATAATTCAAATTTTAGAACTATACATCACTCAGTTTCTTAATTTAAAAGTAAATATTAAAAAACATAGATAAACATAAATTTTTGTGTGTCACGTGGTATGTTGAATGCAGCACTGGTTCAAATTAGATGTTTGTGAAGTCAAAATACTAAGTCTATAGTTTCATACGAATTAGAAACTCAAATTACAAATATTGACAGCTAGAATATAAAATAAGGTCTTATCTTTTCTATTTGCTAAGATATTGCTCACATAATAAATCACATACAGTGGCACCCCACTCACATCTTTCCAATTTTGGAAACGCTCGCTTATATACATTTATTTCTATATATATGACATGAATAACCATTTGGAAGCTCATAATGTCCCCTAGTGG